TCAACACACCACACATCAACACACTACACAACACACCACAAAATCAACACACCACACATCAACACACTACACAACACACCACACATCAACACACTACACATCAACACACACACAACACACCACACATCAACCACCACACATCAACACACTACACATCAACACACTACACATAAAACACACCACACATCAACACACCACACATCAACACACTACACAACACACCACACATCAACACATAACAACACACCACACATCAACACACCACACATCAACACACCAACATCAACACACCACACATCAACACACCACACATCAACACACCACACACAACACACTAACACACCACACCAACACACTACACATCACACCATCAACACACCACACATCAACACACCACACATCAACACACTACACATCACCACAACATCAACACACCACACATCAACACACCACACATCAACACACCACACATCAACACACCACATCAACACACATACACATCACCACACATCAACACACTACACATCAACACACCACACATCAACACACCACACATCAACACACCACACATCAACACACTACACATCACCACACATCAACACACCACACATCAACACATCAACACACCACACATCAACACACCAACATCAACACACCACACATCAACACACCACACATCAACACACCACACATCAACACACCACACATCAACACACTACACATCAACACACCACACATCAACACACTACACATCAACACACTACACAACACACCACACATCAACACACCACACATCAACACACCACACATCAACACACCACACATCAACACACCACACATCAACACACCACACATCAACACACCACACATCAACACACCACACATCAACACACACATCAACACACCACACATCAACACACTACACATCAACACACCACCATCAACACACCACACATCAACACACACATCAACACACCACACATTAACACACCACACAACACATCACTATGTGGTCATTAATAACCCACATAAATTATCTAGAACTAATCCAGTAAGATACAACACAGAAGGAACAGTGATCACGCCTCTCTGGTCATTAATATCCTTCCGGATCTTGATTAAACCTTACCTGCTGGACAATAAACCGCACCATCTCCCTGGCCATTAATAAACCCACTGGCTGTAAGAACACCAATACGTTCTTACACGAGATAAATGTTCCTTCGGTAAGGTTTACTGGATGAATTTCCTGGTTTAGATTGGGTCGTTAACGTTTTTAATAACTCCAGATCATTTAACGTTCTCTAAGAGACATAACAACTTGTGTTCTTCACTTAAACAGGTGTTTGTACTGTGTTCTACTCCATAACGTGTGTTCATAACATGTACCTATACTGTTCTTCACTATAACATGTACCTACCCTGTTCTTCACTACACCATGTACCCACCCTGTTCACTATAACGTGAATCTACCCTGTTCTTCACTATAACGTGTACCTACCCTGTTCTTCACTATAACGTGTACCTACCCTGTTCTTCACTATAACGTGTACCTACCCTGTTCTTCACTATAACGTGTACCTACCCTGTTCTTCACTATAACGTGTACCTACCCTGTTCTTCACTACACCATGTACCTACCCTGTTCTTCACTATAACATAGGCCTACCCTGTTCACTATAACATAGGCCTACCCTGTTCACTATAAGATAGGCCTACCCTGTTCTTCACTAACATAGGCCTACCCTGTTCACTATAACATAGGCCTACCCTCTTCACTATAACGTGACCCTACCCTGTTCTTCACTAACATAGGCCTACCCTGTTCACTATAACATAGGCCTACCCTGTTCTTCACTATAACATGTACCTACCCTGTTCTTCACTAACATAGGCCTACCCTGTTCACTATAACATAGGCCTACCCTGTTCTTCACTATAACATGTACCTACCCTGTTCTTCACTAACATGTACCTACACTGTTCTTCACTATAACATAGGCCTACCCTGTTCTTCACTATAACATAGGCCTACCCTGTTCTTCGCTATAACATAGGCCTACCCTGTTCTTCACTATAACATGTACCTACCCTTTTCTTCACTATAACATAGGCCTACCCTGTTCTTCGCTATAACATAGGCCTACCCTGTTCTTCACTATAACATGTACCTACCCTGTTCTTCACTATAACATAGGCCTACCCTGTTCTTCACTATAACATAGGCCTACCCTGTTCTTCGCTATAACATGTACCTACCCTGTTCTTCACTATAACATAGGCCTACCCTGTTCTTCACTATAACATAGGCCTACCCTGTTCTTCGCTATAACATGTACCTACCCTGTTCTTCACTATAACATAGGCCTACCCTGTTCTTCACTATAACATAGGCCCACCCTGTTCTTCACTATAACATGTACCTACCCTGTTCTTCACTATAACATGTACCTACACTGTTCTTCACTATAACATAGGCCTACCCTGTTCTTCACTATAACATAGGCCTACCCTGTTCTTCGCTATAACATAGGCCTACCCTGTTCTTCACTATAACATGTACCTACCCTGTTCTTCACTATAACATAGGCCTACTCTGTTCTTCGCTATAACATAGGCCTACCCTGTTCTTCACTATAACATGTACCCACCCTGTTCTTCACTATAACATGTACCTACCCTGTTCTTCACTATAACATAGGCCTACCCTGTTCTTCACTATAACATGTACCTACCCTGTTCACTATAACATGTACCTACCCTGTTCTTCACTATAACATGTACCTACCCTGTTCTTCACTATAACATGTACCTACCCTGTTCTTCACTATAACATGTACCTACCCTGTTCTTCGCTATAACATAGGCCCACCCTGTTCTTCACTATAACATGTACCTACCCTGTTCTTCACTATAACATGTACCTACACTGTTCTTCACTATAACATGTACCTACACTGTTCTTCACTATAACATAGGCCTACCCTGTTCTTCACTATAACATAGGCCTACCCTGTTCTTCGCTATAACATAGGCCTACCCTGTTCTTCACTATAACATGTACCTACCCTGTTCTTCACTATAACATAGGCCTACCCTGTTCTTCACTATAACATAGGCCTACCCTGTTCTTCACTAACATAGGCCTACCCTGTTCTTCGCTATAACATAGGCCTACCCTGTTCTTCACTATAACATGTACCCACCCTGTTCTTCACTATAACATGTACCTACCCTGTTCTTCACTACAACATATGCCTACTCTATTAAAGTAGGTCTGTTTTATTTATAATTCAAAACAGCCTGAGTTACCTTCATAACTACTAATCAACAACAAAACATTCACTATGTCATATCTCCTTCAAATTATCATTTATTTGAATTAATAACGCAAGTAATTGCGTTATTACAAACTAACAATAAATTCGGTGGGTTAATTTTTCGTGTGTTCCGGCGACGTTATTGGTAATTCATCATCTCCTGTCTGTTCTTATACAGTGTTAAACTTGCTAACATCTGTTAGTTTAGATTAGTTGAAATGTTAGACTTGTTAGCTAGGCAGCTTAGAAGTTATTAGCAACTTGGGACTCACGGGAATTTGTTGTTCTCCTGACGTTATTTTAACCCACGAATTATCACCAAACTGGGAGGACTCGAACTTGTGGCGAGTGGGTTCTAAAACTGAAATGACGTTGGCACTTGTGAATCATATTTTGGTCATTATTGTCCTAATTACTTCTACAGTAGGTGTGAAGTAACTAACACCCAGGTACCTACTTACTGCTAGGTGAACAGGGACAGAAGATGTAAAGTAACTAACATCCAGGTACCTACTTATTCTTAGGTGAACAAGGACAGCAGATGTAATGCGAATATCACACAAGTACCTACTTACTACTAATTGAACAGGGGCAGCATGTGTAAGGTGAATAACACCTAGTTACCTACTTACTGTTTTGTGAACAGTGATAGTAGGTGTAAGGTAACTAACACCCAGGTACCTGCTTACTGCTGGGTGAACAGGGACAGCAGAAGTAAAGTGAATAACACCCAGGTACCTATTTACTAGGTGAACAGGGACAGCACGTTTAATGTAACTAACACTCAGGTACCTACTTATTACTAGTTGAACAGGGGCTGCAGATGTAATGTGATTAGCACCCAGGTACCTACTTACTGCTAAGTGAACAGGGATAGAAGATGTAACTAACATCGAGGTACCTAAGTACTGTTTGGTGAACAGGGATAGCAGGAGTAAATAATACCCAGGTACCTAGTTACTGCTAGGTGAAGAGGGACATAAAATGTATGGTAACTAAACCCAGGTACCTACTTATTCTTAGGTGAACAAGGACAGCTGATTTAAGATGAATAACACCCAGGTACCTACTAACTGCTAAATGAACAGGGACAGCAGGTGTAAGGAGACTAATACCCAGGTACCTACTGTCTGCTAGGTGAACAGAAAAGAAGGTTCTAGGTAACTGACACCCAGGTACCTATTTACTGCCAGGTGAGCAGGGACAGTTGCGTAAGATTACTAACACCTACTTACTGTTAGGTGAACAGGACAATAGGTATAATTCTACTAACACCTACTTCTAGGTGAGTAAGGACAGCAGGTATAAGGAAACATGACCAATGGGTCACCCGTGCTGGGGATCGAACCAATGATATTTAGTGTTTGTGGCGAGTGCGCTACCAACTGAGCCACCAGTACTATTCCAATCCTGATTTCCTTGACCTAGATTTCAACTCATCAATTCTTGTATATTTTATATACCTATATATTCGACTGAATGAGACTTGACCAAGGATATACCAGACTGAGGTATAACTTGAAGTCTCCTGTTATTTATACTTCTTAGTACGAGGCCAAGAATTATAGTGTTAATTATACATTTCGTCAACAATTATTTCTTACAGATCATTTACGACTATGATTTCATTGAATAATTCACCTCTTCGATTTTTGTCAATACGAAATATTTCAGGGGAAAATGAGTGGCGGAATGCAGATAATAGTGATCATGGCATTGACTGGGATGCTGTGGGTGTCAGCAGCCATGATCTTGTACGAGATGAAAGGCATTGGTCGTTGTGGTGATGGTGCCACCAATGTTTATGCCAACAGTGATGTTATATGTGCTCTCTACTGCACCAACAGTAAGTATATAATCTACCTCAAAACTTTCTACAATTTTAATAATCTTACACACACACACACACACACACACACACACACACACACACACACACACACACACACACACACACACACACATCTTCTTGGACTGCAAGAAGGCCTTTGACACAGTTCCTCACAAGAGATTAGTGCAGAAGCTAGAGCATCAGGCGCATATAACAGAAGGGCACTGCAATGGATCAGAGAATACCTGACAGGGAGGCAACAACGAGTCATGGTACGTAATGATGTATCACAGTGGGCACCTGTGACGAGCGGGGTCCCACAGGGGTCGGTCCTAGGACCAGTGCTATTTTTGGTATATGTGAACGACATGACGGAAGGGTTAGACTCAGAAGTGTCCCTGTTTGCAGATGATGTGAAGTTTAATGAGGAGAATTAAATCTGATGAGGACCAGGCAGGACTTCAAAGAGACCTGGACAGACTGGACACCTGGTCCAGCAAATGGCTTCTCGAATTTAATCCTGCCAAATGCAAAGTCATGAAGATAGGGGAAGGGCACAGAAGACCACAGACAGAGTATAGGCTAGGTGGCCAAAGACTGCAAACCTCACTCAAGGAGAAAGATCTTGGGGTGAGTATAACACCGAGCTTTGTCTCCGGAAGCACACATCAACCAGATAACTGCTGCAGCATATGGGCGCCTGGCAAACCTGAGAACAGCATTCCGACACCTTAGTAAGGAATCATTCAAGACACTGTACACCGTGTATGTCAGGCCCATACTGGAGTATGCAGCACCTGTTTGGAACCCGCACTTGATAAAGCACGTCAAGAAACTAGAGAAAGTACAAAGGTTTGCAACAAGGTTAGTTCCAGAGCTAAGGGGAATGTCCTATGAAGAAAGATTAAGGGAAATCGGCCTGACGACACTGGAGGACAGGAGGGTCAGGGGAGACATGATAACGACATATAAAATACTGCGTGGAATAGACAAGGTGGACAAGGACAGGATGTTCCAGGGAGGGGACACAGAAACAAGAGGCCACAATTGGAAGTTGAAGACACAAATGAGTCAGAGAGATAGTAGGAAGTATTTCTTCAGTCATAGAGTTGTAAGGCAGTGGAATAACATAGAAAATGACGTAGTGGAGGCAGGAACCATACACAGTTTTAAGACGAGGTTTGATAAAGCTCATGGAGCGGGGAGAGAGAGGGCCTAGTAGCAACCGGTGAAGAGGCGGGGCCAGGAGCTAGGACTCGACCCCTGCAACCACAAATAGGTGAGTACAAATAGGTGAGTACACACACACACACACACACACACACACAACCTCAACTAGGTGAGTACACACACACACGCACCAGTGTCACTGACATGCATAGTATACAGAGTCATGGAGAAGATTATCAGGAGAGTGGTGGAACACCTACAAAGGAATGAGCTTATTAACGACAGCCAGCATGGTTTCAGGGACGGGAAATCCTGTGTCACAAACCTACTGGAGTTCTATGACAGGGTGACAGCAGTAAGACAAGAGAGAGAGGGGTGGGTAGATTACATGGGACACAGCAACAAGGGGTCACAGTTGGTCGTTGAAACCAGAGGAATCGCAGGGATGTTAGGAAGTATTTCTTCAGTCACAGAGTAGTCAGGAACTGGAATAGTTTGGGAAACTATGTAGTGGAGGCAGGATCCATTTGTAGCTTTGAGCAGAGGTATGATAAAGCTCATGGTGCAGGTAGTGACCCAGTAGCGGCCAGTGAAAAAGCGGGGCCAGGAGCTATGGCTCGTGTGGTGTAAGATGTTCTGAGTGTGTGATCTCCCAACAGATGTGTGGTGCAAAGGCTTCAACTTCGAAGCCAGCTCATCAATCGCGACCTCTGGCGGGCTGTGTCAACTACACCAGATGCTGAATTCGCCAGATGGTAGCGCTGACAGCACTTGCTTCGTAGCTGGTGAGTATCTGCCTTGTTATGAATATACTAACATGATGAAAATAATAATAGTGTATTTCTACAAGTACGTGATACAACTTATAAAGACCATAGCTGATATCAGTGACATACTATACAGAAAGCCCTTTGTTACGCAAAGCATTTCGGACAATTTAGGTTAATTTTGTCCCTAGGATGCGACCCACAGCAGTCAATCAAGTTTATTCTCTATAAGGATTACAATGCGGGGTTTACAGATTTTGGATGTTGTGTGGTTTACATGTTATAAAATACTAATTACAGAGGGGGCCACTAGGGCACCTAGCATGGCTAGGCATTTCGGGCAGACTTAGATTAATTCTTAACTCTAAATTATTACAAATTAAGGAGTAAGTTGGTATTATGGCTAAGCGACTAAATTATAGTTTGTGAGTTTAGCAATGTGAATGCTTTTGTTTTGGCACAATACATAGTTTCTATACTGGAGTATCACAGGCAAACTTATGACTAGTTAGAATTCATTATTTTAAGATTAAGATTCGTATTTTTGTGCTTATAGTCAAATGGGTGAGTGAGTGTAAGTGTGAACCACCAGGTGGTATTCGTGTAGTTAGTTGACGGGGTGTATCAGGGAGATAAGATGTTTTCTAACGGTAGTTTTGAAGGTGATGAATGTGTCTGCAGTTCTAGAGTTTTCAGGTAGGGTGTTCGATTTTAGGGCCTTTGACATACATTGAATTTTTGTAAAGGTTTAGTCGGACACGGGGAATGTCATAGAGATGTTTGTGTCTGGTGTTATGCCTGTGGATCCTGTCACAACTATCAAGAAAGTTTTAGGTCAAGGTTAATATTGGAATTTAAGGTCCTGTAGATATAGATTGCACAGTAGTAAGTGTGGATGTTCTGAACAGGGAGTAAGTTTAGATCTATTAAGAGTGGGGATGGGGGGGTGTTGCCAGGGATTGTGTTTAGTGATTATTCTTACTGTGGCTTTTTGTTGGGTTATTATTGGCTTTAGGTGTGTTGCTGCAGTTGCTCCCCAAGCACAAATAGCATAGGTGAGGTATGGATAAATGAGTAAATGGTATAGTGTGAGAAGAGCATTTTGCGGCACATAGTATCGTATCTTGGAAAGGATCCCAACCGTTTTGGATACTTTTTGTTATGTGTTGGATATGGGTGCTGAAATTCAGGCTGTTGTCGAGGTATAGGCCTAGGGATTTGCCCTCAATGTCTGGCAATTAGTGTTGTCGATCTTAATGTTAGGTTGTGCAACACCTGCTCTGCTACTAAACATAATATAGTAGGTTTTGTCAGTGTTAAGTGTAAGTTTATTGGCTATCATCCAAGTCGATATTTTGAGCAGCTCCTCGTTAACAATGGTGTTGAGGGTGGCAAGATTAGGGTGAGAGATGACAAGTGTGGTCAGCAAAGAATGGGTTTCAGGTGTTGAGATACATTTGGAAGATCATTGATGTAAATGAGGAAGAGCAGGGAACCAAGGACACTTCCCTGCGGAACTCCAGTATCAAGTGGCCGTGTTGTTGATGCTGTGTCTTTAATGGTGACATACTGATACCTATTAGTAAGGTAAGATTTGATATATGGAAGCGCATGGTGACTAACACCCAGGTACTTTTTATTGATAGGCGAACAGGGATAGCAGGTGTCTTCAGGAAACACGCCCAATGTTTGCACCCGTACCGGGGATCGAACCACGGACAATCAATTTGTGAGATTTACAAACTGATGTACCATCAATGTAATTGTTATAGGCATAAATTGATGGTCTACTGGTAAATATAATCTGGCATAAGTCAAGACCATTAGTGATTGTACCACATGTTGGTATTATACCACATGTTGGTATTATACCACATGTTGGTATTATACCACATGTTGGTATTATACCACATGTTGTTTATATGTGGTATTATACCACATGTTGGTATTATACCACATGTTGGTGAGTATTATACCACATGTTGGTATTATACCACATGTTGGCGAGTATTATACCACATGTTGGTGAGTATTATACCACATGTTGGTATTATACCACATGTTAGTGAGTATTATATCACATGTTGGTATTATACCACATGTTGGTATTATACCACATGTTGGTATTATACCACATGTTGGTATTATACCACATGTTGGTATTATACCACATGTTGGTATTATACCACATGTTGGTATTATACCACATGTTGGTATTATACCACATGTTGGCGAGTATTATACCACATGTTGGTATTATACCACATGTTGGTATTATACCACATGTTAGTGAGTATTATACCACATGTTGGTATTATACCACATGTTGGTATTATACCACATGTTGGTATTATACCACATGTTGGTATTATACCACATGTTGGTGAGTATTATACCACATGTTGGTGAGTATTATACCACATGTTGGTGAGTATTATACCACATGTTGGTGAGTATTATACCACATGTTGGTGAGTATTATACCACATGTTGGTGAGTATTATACCACATGTTGGTGAGTATTATACCACATGTTGGTGAGTATTATACCACATGTTGGTATTATACCACATGGTATTATACCACATGTTGGTGAGTATTATACCACATGTTGGTATTACACCACATGTTGGCGAGCATTATACCACATGTTGGTATTACACCACATGTTGGTGAGTATTAAGTAGGTACCTAACCTGCTGTCCTCATTCGTCAAAAAGTAAGTAGGCACCCGAGTATCAGTCACCTTACACCTGCTGCCACTGTTCACCTAGCAAGAACTAGGTACTTGGTTGTTAGTCACCTATCAGCTGCTGTCCCTGATCACCTAACAGTGAGTAGGTACCTGGGTGTAAGTCACCCTAACACTTCCTGTCACCGTTCACCTAGAAGTAGGTACCTGTGACTTAGTAAACTGGTATGAGTGGCATCCTGGGGGTGGTAGTATACGTAATATAAGGATATATATATATATATATATATATATATATATATATATATATATATATATATATATATATATCGGCTTTGTGGACTAAGTTACTGTTGATTTAGACTAACCAACATACAATATCTTTTTAAGTCTACTTACACTGTCTACTTATCCATTTTATTAACCCTAGACTATCTACTTACATCTTTGACCTATATTATCCATGTGCGGATTCCATGGGAAGTGCCAAACCCGCAGGGGATACAGCACTTCAGAAATGGGAGGCAATAGGGGTTGATCCGTGGAAGGGGAAGGAAACTATCAGTTTCCTGGATAGTTGGATAAACTCCGACGCTCCTGAAGCTTTATCCACACCTGAAGCTTTATCCACTCCTGAAGCTTTATCCACACCTGAAGCTTTATCCACACCTGAAGCTTTATCCACACCTGAAGCTTTATCCACACCTGAAGCTTTATCCACACCTGAAGCTTTATCCACACCTGAAGCTTTATCCACACCTGAAGCTTTATCCACACCTGAAGCTTTATCCACTCCTGAAGCTTTATCCACTTCTGAAGCTTTATCCACACCTGAAGCTTTATCCACTCCTGAAGCTTTATCCACACCTGAAGTTTTATCCACTCCTGAAGCTTTATCCACTCCTGAAGCTTTATCCACACCTGAAGCTTTATCCACTCCTGAAGCTTTATCCATTCCTGAAGCTTTATCCACTCCTGAAGCTTTATCCACACCTGAAGCTTTATCCACTCCTGAAGCTTTATCCACACCTGAAGCTTTATCCACTCCTGAAGCTTTATCCACTCCTGAAGCTTTATCCACTCCTGAAGCTTTATCCACTCCTGAAGCTTTATCCACTCCTGAAGCTTTATCCACTCCTGAAGCTTTATCCACTCCTGAAGCTTTATCCACACCTGAAGCTTTATCCACTCCTGAAGCTTTATCCACTCCTGAAGCTTTATCCACTCCTGAAGCTTTATCCACTCCTGAAGCTTTATCCACACCTGAAGCTTTATCCACACCTGAAGCTTTATCCACACCTGAAACTTTATCCACTCCTGAAGCTTTATCCACTCCTGAAGCTTTATCCACACCTGAAGCTTTATCCACACCTGAAGCTTTATCCACTCCTGAAGCTTTATCCACTCCTGAAGCTTTATCCACACCTGAAGCTTTATCCACTCCTGAAGCTTTATCCACACCTGAAGCTTTATCCACTCCTGAAGCTTTATCCACTCCTGAAGCTTTATCCACTCCTGAAGCTTTATCCACACCTGAAGCTTTATCCACTCCTGAAGCTTTATCCACTCCTGAAGCTTTATCCACACCTGAAGCTTTATCCACACCTGAAGCTTTATCCACACCTGAAGCTTTATCCACACCTGAAACTTTATCCACTCCTGAAGCTTTATCCACTCCTGAAGCTTTATCCACACCTGAAGCTTTATCCACACCTGAAGCTTTATCCACTCCTGAAGCTTTATCCACACCAGAAACTTTATCCACTCCTGAAGCTTTATCCACACCAGAAACTTTATCCACTCCTGAAGCTTTATCCACTCCTGAAGCTTTATCCACACCTGAAGCTTTATCCACACCTGAAGCTTTATCCACTCCTGAAGCTTTATCCACACCTGAAGCTTTATCCACACCTGAAGCTTTATCCACTCCTGAAGCTTTATCCACACCTGAAGCTTTATCCACACCTGAAGCTTTATCCACACCTGAAGCTTTATCCACACCTGAAGCTTTATCCACACCTGAAGCTTTATCCACACCTGAAGCTTTATCCACACGCACAACGTCACACTGTCAGTGGAACGCCTTCCATCTGAGCAAAAAACTAAGGGAAATAAATATAAAAATAAAGAAACGACTCTAGAAATAATGTCTTTTGCGGATTTTACTTAAAATTTAAATATAATCAAATTGGCCGTTGGTTGTGGCGGCGCGGGTAAGTCCCTGGATGGAGCGGGTAAGTCCCTGGATGGAGCGGGTAAGTCCCTGGATGGAGCGGGTAAGTCCCTGGATGGAGCGGGTAAGTCCCTGGATGGAGTGGGTAAGACCCTGGATGGAGTGGGTAAGACCCTGGATGGAGCGGGTAAGTCCCTGGATGGAGCGGGTAAGACCCTGGATGGAGCGGGTAAGTCCCTGGATGGAGCGGGTAAGACCCTGGATGGAGCGGGTAAGTCCCTGGATAGAGCGGGTAAGACCCTGGATGGAGCGGGTAAGACCCTGGATGGAGTGGGTAAGACCCTGGATGGAGTGGGTAAGACCCTGGATGGAGCGAGTAAGCCCCTGGATGGAGCGGGTAAGTCCCTGGATAGAGCGGGTAAGACCCTGGATGGAGCGGGTAAGACCCTGGATGGAGCGGGTAAGACCCTGGATGGAGCGGGTAAGACCCTGGATGGAGCGGGTAAGACCCTGGATGGAGCGGGTAAGACCCTGGATGGAGCGGGTAAGACCCTGGATGGAGCGGGTAAGACCCTGGATGGAGCGGGTAAGACCCTGGATGGAGCGGGTAAGACCCTGGATAGAGCGGGTAAGACCCTGGATGGAGCGGGTAAGACCCTGGATGGAGCGGGTAAGACCCTGGATGGAGCGGGTAAGACCCTGGATGGAGCGGGTAAGACCCTGGATGGAGCGGGTAAGACCCTGGATGGAGCGGGTAAGACCCTGGATGGAGCGGGTAAGACCCTGGATGGAGCGGGTAAGACCCTGGATGGAGCGGGTAAGACCCTGGATAGAGCGGGTAAGACCCTGGATGGAGCGGGTAAGACCCTGGATGGAGCGGGTAAGACCCTGGATGGAGCGGGTAAGACCCTGGATGGAGCGGGTAAGACCCTGGATGGAGCGGGTAAGACCCTGGATGGAGCGGGTAAGACCTGGATGGAGCGGGTAAGTCCCTGGATGGAGCGGGTAAGACCCTGGATGGAGCGGGTAAGTCCCTGGATGGAGTGGGTAAGACCCTGGATGGAGCGAGTAAGCCCCTGGATGGAGCGGGTAAGTCCCTGGATAGAGCGGGTAAGACCCTGGATGGAGCGGGTAAGACCTGGATGGAGTGGGTAAGACCCTGGATGGAGCGAGTAAGCCCCTGGATGGAGCGGGTAAGTCCCTGGATGGAGCGGGTAAGACCCTGGATGGAGTGGGTAAGTCCCTGGATGGAGCGGGGTAAGCCCTGGATGGAGCGGGTAAGTCCCTGGATGGAGCGGGTAAGACCCTGGATGGAGTGGGTAAGTCCCTGGATGGAGCGGGTAAGTCCCTGGATGGAGCGGGTAAGACCCTGGATGGAGCGGGTAAGACCCTGGATGGAGCGGGTAAGACCCTGGATGGAGCGGGTAAGACCCTGGATGGAGCGGGTAAGACCCTGGATGGAGCGGGTAAGACCCTGGATGGAGCGGGTAAGTCCCTGGATGGAGCGGGTAAGACCCTGGATGGAGCGGGTAAGTCCCTGGATGGAGTGGGTAAGACCCTGGATGGAGCGAGTAAGCCCCTGGATGGAGCGGGTAAGTCCCTGGATAGAGCGGGTAAGACCCTGGATGGAGCGGGTAAGACCCTGGATGGAGTGGGTAAGACCCTGGATGGAGCGAGTAAGCCCCTGGATGGAGCGGGTAAGTCCCTGGATGGAGCGGGTAAGACCCTGGATGGAGTGGGTAAGTCCCTGGATGGAGCGGGTAAGCCCCTGGATGGAGCGGGTAAGTCCCTGGATGGAGCGGGTAAGACCCTGGATGGAGTGGGTAAGTCCCTGGATGGAGCGGGTAAGTCCCTGGATGGAGCGGGTAAGACCCTGGATGGAGCGGGTAAGACCCTGGATGGAGCGGGTAAGACCCTGGATGGAGCGGGTAAGACCCTGGATGGAGCGGGTAAGACCCTGGATGGAGCGGGTAAGACCCTGGATGGAGCGGGTAAGACCCTGGATGGTTCTCTGATGTTGAAGACGATGTAGGTAATCCTGGGCTGATGGTACCAGTCCGATGTTTTGGAGTCTCCTGAACCACTTGGTTGGAGTACCACAAGTAGGATAAATAAGGGCTGGTAGCAGTGGGACAATGTTAATTAGTCCAATTAACAAGTATGTTACTCCCTTATCTGGCGTCTACCCTGGATGACCACGCCACGAGCAGAGTTGGTAATTAGAAAAAATAAATTGGTTACCAACAGTTAGGCAAATATAATATTTAAGAATAAAAAAAAGAGTGGTATTAAATGCCAAAATCGTTACTGGTAACCAACAAAAAATACAACGAATAGTAATATTCCTGGTACATCACCTTACTTGATCAGGAGAAGAGTGGAGGTGAAGTGACTCTCCAAGCTTCAGCTCACACCAGGTAAGGTCAGTACTAGCAGGAGTAGAAATTGAAGCACATCAGACACCAGGAACTACAGTTTTGCCCCAGTCCGCCAGATGGGAGTGTGCGACGTAACTCTCTAATGGTGCCTGGTTGCCTGAACAACCCTAACCCCACTTGTAACCCACTTTTCCCTCACACCTACAACGTCACCCACACCTGCAAGTTTGCCTACTATAAGTGAACTTCTCACCTTCACTTGTTTCTCTTCAGCTACGTCAGAAACCACAACAGCTGCTGCTGTTACAGCTGCACCTGCAACTGCTTCTAGCACTACAGCTGCGCCTGTAGCTGCTACAACCAAGTCTGCAGCAGATACAACTATGACAGCAGCACATTCAGCTGCTACAACTAAGCCTACAACTACTACAACCATTACAGCAGCACACTCAGCTGCTACAACCAAGCCTACAACTACTACAACCATTACAACTACAACTACGACTACCACCACGGTAGGTATCACCATAGCCAGTGAGAGCTCCTATCATGTAATATATATTATTGATCTTAGAATCTGTGTACTTTTAAAATTTGAGTTGATATTCAGCATTTGTTTTTAAACTTCAGATCAATATTGATTAGTTAGTAATAAGATTATATACCGAATCTTGAATGGGTAGATTTTTTCCGTCTTTCTGGATGGACCCTTACAGGTCAGGGTGGTTCAGGAGGCTCAGGGTGGTTCAAGAGGCCTACCCAAGTAAACTGGTTTACCACTTGGTGTTAGGTTCAAGACAGTCTGCCCTGGGCAATTACACTGACTACCCTGGGCTTGGTTGCCAATACTAGCAATAATGAGAAGTTATACGTGAAGTAGCCATGAGAAAATATCAGTCATAATGACATTAGCAAACTGAAGGTTGTGAGAGGTGGTTAGACAGATTTAATCTCCAATAATGAGAGTCTGAATATATAAACGTGTCATAAAGGGTGAAATTATCACTGTGATCTCTGAGTCACACATCATTCAGGAGTTATGGGGGAAAGCCACTGGAATAAATACCAACATCTCACTTAATGCTGGTCAGTACAGAGGTGCTGCTGATCATAGGGATGGTCATTCTCAACAAGTAAAGGGACATTGCCATTTGGGATCACTATTGGATCAGACACCTTTTGCTTGTGGGGGAAATTGCCATGGCTTTCCCCAGGAAGTTGGTCTCCAGGCTCACTACATCCACCAGAGACTCGAAGGCTGCTATCTTTCTCTTGTAGTGCCTCAGTGTGGTGATCTAGAGAGGCTACGCCTGCTGCATCTTGTGTCACCATCAGGCAGCTAACAAGTTAAAAGAGTTTATTCACAACAATTCTGCAAAATAGTGAACTTCTAAGTGATTTATTAAATAATGACCTGCATAAATAATACAATGACAGAAAGATAAGGCTGAGATATCACCTGGCATACGACCTTTCACCTGACCCAGTACGATGTGGTTTGGAGTGTCAGGATTTATATCACCGACAATTTATGAAGCACCTCTCAGGCATATCTTAAATTCCTCACAGATTCTTTTAATTATAAATTAATCTAATTTATATAACCCTGAACTAATATTCATAATGGAATTAATGTTTTTTTATGAACTACTTCCAATTATATTTCTCTTAACCACAGACCTGACTGATAAAAATTTTTCTAGACCTTTTAACAGTTGGATGATTAAAATCTCTCACATTAAGGAACAGAACATTACATTCTTGTTTAGTTTTAATGCTATATTTATGTTTTTGTAATCATAGTTCAAGATTTTTATCAGTTTGATTGTAATAAAATTTAACACATTTTTACAGGTAATCTTGTGCACACAGCCATCAACATTTTTAATCAGGTTTTTTTTTAATCAAGATTTTTAAATATAACTTTCATTTTATTATTAATTGGAGAATTTATATCAAGAAGGTTTTCATGGTAAGAGAGAACCAACATATATATATATATATATATATATATATATATATATATATATATATATATATATATATATATATATATATATATATATATATATGCAAAACAACCACTCTGAAAGAATAGAGAAATTCCAAGCGCTTTCGTGACTACTCACATTATCAAGGAACTATGAAAGTAAAGCATCCAAGGAAGGTATATAAGGGGTCTGGCCAACACCTCACTATCAGATCCCACAACAGTTAAACACCTGACGCGCGCCGGCCCAACTGGACAGGTCCTTCGCACAACCCACCAACAAACTATTCTACCCAAGAAAATTTTAAAAATTATTTGTCCAGTGTATTATTAAATTCTTCTCAAATTCTATTAATTATAAATGGATCTAATTTATATAAACCAAAGGAAATATTCATATTATTGTCAAAACTGCTTTTTATGAAACAAGATTCAATTATATTCCTGTCGACCATGGACTTGCTTGATACTACTTTCTCAACTTTTTGAAAATCAATTGGATGGTTAAAATCTCTTACATGAATAAATAGAGCATTGGAATCTTGTCCAGTTCTAATGCTATATTTATGTTGTTTTAATCTTAGTTCGAGATTTTTACCAGTTTGACCGTAATAAACTTTATCGCAAATTTTACAAGGAATCTTATAGACACATCCATCAGCATTTTGGGGGAATTCTTTATCAAAAGTTTTTTTACTGTATCAAGATTTTTGAATACAACTTTAATATTAAAAGTCTTAAGAAGAGAAGGCATATCAACCAAGTTTTCATGGTAAGGGAGAACCAACATATTTTTAGTTGAATAAGGCTGGTTTTGAATAAGGCAATGTTTTTGAGAGCTTTACGAATTTGTAGTCCTGAGTTCATAGATGAGGAAATATTTAAAATACCCAAGAAATGTAATTGATAAATCTTTTAAAGTTGCTCCCCTCAAGGAAGGTTCCTTGATGTTGGTGAGGGGCTCTTGATTTAGGGAATTGGATCTGTGCTCCAGTTCCCCGAATTAAGCCTGAATGCCTTCCACATCCCCCCCCCCAGGCGCTGTATAATCCTCCGGGTTTAGCGCTTCCCCTTGATTATAATAATAATAATAATTTTAAAGTTGCTAGAAATTCGTTTTATAATCCAAAAAGGGACAACCAGCCTTATTCAACTAAAAATATGTTGGTTCTCCCTTACCATGAAAACTTGGTTGATATGCCTTCTCTTCTTAAGACTTTTAATATTAAAGTTGTATTTAAAAATCTTGAAACAGTAAAAAAACTTTTGATAGAGAATTCTCCCCAAAATGCTGATGGATGTGTCTATAAGATTCCTTGTAAAATTTGCGATAAAGTTTATTACGGTCAAACTGGTAAAAATCTCAAACTAAGATTAAAACAACATAAATATAGCATTAGAACTGGACAAGATTCCAATGCTCTATTTATTCATGTAAGAGATTTTAACCATCCAATTGATTTTCAAAAAGTTGAGAAAGTAGTATCAAGCAAGTCCATGGTCGACAGGAATATAATTGAATCTTGTTTCATAAAAAGCAGTTTTGACAATAATATGAATATTTCCTATGGTTTATATAAATTAGATCCATTTATAATTAATAGAATTTGGGAAGAATTTAATAATACACTGGACAAATAATAATTTTTAAAATTTTTTCTTGGGTAGAATAGTTTGTTGGTGGGTTGTGCGAAGGACCTGTCCAGTTGGGCCGGGCGCGTCAGGTGTTTAACTGTTGTGGGATCTGATAGTGAGGTGTTGGCCAGACCCCTTATATACCTTCCTTGGATGCTTTATTTTCATAGTTCCTTGATAATGTGAGTAGTCACGAAAGCGCTTGGAATTTCTCTATTCGTTCACAGTGGTTGTTTTGCATATATATATATATATATATATATATATATATATATATATATATATATATATATATATATATATTATAATATATATATATATATTTATTTATTTCTACATATTTCTACCCCAGATAATATTTGTTTATATTTGACCAGGTTTCTCCAAGCACAGTAACAACAGCTCTGCCAGATGTGAACGTCAGTTCTGGTTACTTTACTCAGGTGTTGAGCAACAGCAGGTGTGGAGACAATGCTGCTGTCGTGGGCATGTACAATGCAGGTGCAAACTACTTTCTTATGTGCCTGTCTCCTCCGAGTAACCTGTATTTCTCCGGCTCCATTCCGATTAATGAATGTCCTTTCGTGTACATGAACATGAAGTGCATGACGGTGTCCTGTAATGAAAATGGCACTAAGAGTATTATGAATGGCTTTACCTCTGGTACTTACCCGTCAGAAGGTCCATGTGGCACCCCTTTCCCATTGGGAAAAGCAGATCTGAACATTTCTGATTGTCATGTGATTGACGGTGCCATGCAGACAGCCCCAGCAAACTCAGGATCATGGAACCAGTGGAGGATTTGTAAAGGAAACTCCCAGTATTTCTATGTCATGACAGGCGCTGTGGTTACTGCAACTAGTAATACCTCCTGGACCCTCACCAGTATCACCTGCTGTCGCCTTGTACCACTTAAGTAATCCACACCAGGAGATGATCACAGTGTCCCTTGTCCTGGTGGTTAAAGCTGTCGCTTCACACGGTGAGGGACTGGGTTCGATTCCCAGTGAGGGTAGAAACATTGGGTGTATTTCCTTACACCGGTTGTCCATGCTCACCCATCAGTAAAATGGGTACCTAGGTGTTAGTGGACTGGTGTGGGTCGCATCCTGGGACACAGTTGCCCTAATTTGCGGGAAATGCTCAGCATAACAAGGTACTTTCTATATAACTCACGAAATCGTAAAGACACGATTGCAAACAAACCATACCACGGGCGGGATTTGAACCAGCGACGGTCTGGAGTTTTGAGACTCTCTGACCGCGGGTTCAAATCCCGCCCGTGGTATGGTTTACTTTCTATATAGTAGTATGTAATTGATGTCATCTATGGTCTGTGTACCTTCTACATGTACTTTATTGTAGACGTTTCGCTATCCAGTAGCTTTATCACTGGAAATAAATGGTATAAAATACCGACACAATGGAAATATAAACACATATGCAGTATAATGTGATCCTTTATTGACAACGTTTCGCCCACACAGTGGGCTTTTTCAAGTCACAAACAGATCTACGTGGGTGGAAGGTACGCGAGTATTTATAGTCAGGTTCAGAATGTTGAGGTCAGGTGGAGAATGCTGCATCTGATGATGTACCGAGTGGGGTTATAGAGTCTAAAATCTTGGGTAGCTTGGAAAGGAGATTGGATAAGTTTGTGAGCAGACCTTCTACAGTGTTCTTCCATTCCTATGCTCTTATGTGGGATAGCGATGAAGTTTCTTGGCAAGTGGTTCAGCTATGTTATAGAAGCCATTATTCTGGTTGAAGTTGTCAGATATAGAGATAAGCGATGATTCCAGGATTCTTTGGTATTGAGTGTTGTCTTCTGTGGCGATAAGTCTTGAGTTTCTGTAGTTTATTAAATGGTTGTGTGAATTACGGTGTTGTACACAGCCATTCCTTGTATCGTCAGACCTGCTTGCGTATTGGTGTTCTGAAATACGTGTTTGGAGGTCTCTTGATGTTTCGCCCACGTATAATTTGCTGCAGTCATTACAAGGGATTATGTATACCCCTGCAGAGGATGGAAGGTTGTCCTGTCTACTACTGGTGATGTCCTTGATGGTCGTGGTTGTGGAGGTAGATACTTGGAATGATGTATTGGAAAAGATGTTGGAAACGTGTTTGGCAATGGAGTTGGTGGGGAGGACTATGTATCTCTTCTCGGCAGTGTCTTCTCTGGGTGTGTTGAAGATGTTTAATGCCAGCCGTCTGCAGTCTCTGATGAAGTGACGAGGATAGTGGAGTTTGGAAAATACTTGTTCAATTATAGTGCATTCTTCCTCAAGGAAGTCATTGCTGCAGATTCTGAGTGCGCGCAGGAAGAAGCCTATAATTACACCACGTTTAGTTTTGGTGTCGTGGTGAGAGTAGAAGTAGAGAAGATCGTTTTGGTTGATGGGTTTTCGATAGACTTTAAAACGAAGTTCATGGTCAACTTTGCAGAGAAGAACATCAAGGAAAGGAAGAGTGTTGTTGATTTCTTCAAGTGTGAACTGGATTGAGGGCTCGACCTGGTTGAACTTGTCTTGGAGAGCTTGAACGTTGAAGCGTCTAGGAGTTATAAGGAGAATGTCGTCAACATAACGGAGCCAGGTGACAGACGAAGAAATAATGGTGGTGTTGAGAGCACCGTAGTGGTAGAGATTCTGAAGCAAAGGCAAGAAGACTGGCGGTTATATAGGCGTCAGTGGATAGGGACGTGTAGCAGACGAGGGCATAGTCACTGGTAGGTGGGATTCCCCAGTGGAAGTAGGTCCTACCCCAGTGGAAGTAGGTCCTACCCCAGTGGAAGTAGGTCCTACCCCAGTGGAAATAGGTCCTACCCCAGTGGAAGTAGGTCCTACCCCAGTGGAAATAGGTCCTACCCCAGTGGAAGTAGGTCCTACCCCAGTGGAAGTAGGTCCTACCCCAGTGGAAGTAGGTCCTACCCCAGTGGAAGTAGGTCCTACCCCAGTGGAAATAGGTCCTACCCCAGTGGAAGTAGGTCCTACCCCAGTGGAAATAGGTCCTACCCCAGTGGAAGTAGGTCCTACCCCAGTGGAAATAGGTTCTACCCCAGTGGAAGTAGGTCCTACCCCAGTGGAAGTAGGTCCTACCCCAGTGGAAGTAGGTCCTACCCCAGTGGAAGTAGGTCCTACCCCAGTAGAAATAGGTCCTACCCCAGTGGAAGTAGGTCCTACCCCAGTGGAAGTAGGTCCTACCCCAGTGGAAGTAGGTCTTACCCGAAGGGACGAGATAGTTGTAGTAGCCGTGAAGAATGTCCTATAGATGTCCTGTGAACCAAGATTCCATGATGTTGTTGCAGTGTCTGACAAGTTGTTCACAAGTCTTACTTTCATCTTGTCGGTATTTTATACCATTCTTGCACTACATGTACTTGTTGATATAAAGATATTATTATTATTATGATTATTATTTATTATTATTATTATTATTATTATTATTATTATGAATACTGGTAAATTCCCAAATGTGATGAACACATCAAGATCACAGTTACACACACACATACATACACACATACATATATACATACACATACATACATACATACATACAGGGGGTTAATTATCATCAGTGTTACTGAACAATTTTATTGTACAAATAAAGTTTTGTTCAGGATGTTCATATTGTTCATATTGTGTTTATAATGTTCATTATATTCATAATGTTCATTATGTTCGTAATGTTCATTATGTTCGTAATATTCATTATGTTCATAATGTTCATTATGTTCATAATGTTCATAATGTTCACTATGTTCATAATGTTCATTATGTTCGTAATGTTCATTATGTTCGTAATATTCATTATGTTCATAATGTTCATTATGTTCATAATGTTCATAATGTTCACTATGTTCGTAATGTTCATTATGTTCGTAATATTCATTATGTTCGTAATATTCATTATGTTCATAATGTTCATAATGTTCACTATGTTCGTAATGTTCATTATGTTCGTAATATTCATTATGTTCATAATGTTCATTATGTTCATAATGTTCATTATGTTCATAATGTTCATAATGTTCACTATGTTCGTAATGTTCATTATGTTCGTAATGTTCATTATGTTCGTAATATTCATTATGTTCATAATGTTCATTATGTTCACTATGTTCGTAATGTTCACTATGTTCGTAATGTTCACTATGTTCGTAATGTTCATTATGTTCATAATGTTCATAATGTTCACTATGTTCGTAATGTTCATTATGTTCGTAATATTCATTATGTTCGTAATATTCATTATGTTCATAATGTTCATAATGTTCACTATGTTCGTAATGTTCATTATGTTCGTAATATTCATTATGTTCATAATGTTCATTATGTTCATAATGTTCATAATGTTCACTATGTTCGTAATGTTCATTATGTTCGTAATGTTCATTATGTTCGTAATATTCATTATGTTCATAATGTTCATTATGTTCACTATGTTCGTAATGTTCACTATGTTCGTAATGTTCACTATGTTCGTAATGTTCATTATGTTCATAATGTTCATTATGTTCATAATGTTCATTATGTTCGTAATGTTCATTATGTTCATAATGTTCATTATGTTCATAATGTTCATAATGTTCACTATGTTCATAATGTTCACTATGTTCGTAATGTTCATTATGTTCGTAATATTCATTATGTTCATAATGTTCATTATGTTCATAATGTTCATTATGTTCATAATGTTCATAATGTTCACTATGTTCATAATGTTCATTATGTTTGTAATGTTCATTATGTTCATTATGTTCATAATGTTCATTATGTTCATAATGTTCATAATGTTCACTATGTTCATAATGTTCATAATGTTCACTATGTTCATAATGTTCATTATGTTCATAATGTTCATAATGTTCACTATGTTCATAATGTTCACTATGTTCATAATGTTCACTATGTTCATAATGTTCATTATGTTCATAATGTTCATTTATCTTCATATAAAAGTTCAACAAAGAACAAGTTGTTCACATATTGTTCAGATACAACTTAAAACACTGAACAATCTTGTTCATTGTACCCATTATATCTTCATTATATCTCCATTATATCTTCATTATATCTCCATTATATCTTCATTATATCTTCACTATATCTCCATTATATCTTCATTATATCTCCATTATATCTTCATTATATCTTCACTATATCTCCATTATATCTCCATTATATCTCCATTATATCTCCATTATATCTCCATTATATCTTCATTATATCTCCATTATATCTCCATTATATCTCCATTATATCTCCATTATATCTCCATTATATCTTCATTATATCTTCATTATATCTCCATTATATCTTCATTATATCTTCATTATATCTTCATTATATCTCCATTATATCTCCATTATATCTCCATTATATCTTCACTATATCTTCATTATATCTTCATTATATCTTCATTATAACTTCATTATATCTCCATTATATCTTCATTATATCTCCATTATATCATTTCATTATATCTCCATTATATCTTCATTATTCTTCATTATATCTTCATTATATCTTCATTATATCTCCATTATATCTTCATTATATCTCCATTATATCTTCATTATATCTCCATTATATCTTCATTATATCTCCATTATATCTCCATTATATCTTCACTATATCTTCATTATATCTTCATTATATCTTCATTATAACTTCATTATATCTTCATTATATCTTCATTATATCTCCATTATATCTTCATTATATCTCCATTATATCTTCATTATATCTCATTATATCTTCATTTATATCTTCATTATATCTCCATTATATCTTCATTATATTCCATTATATTCTTCATTATATCTCCATTATATCTTCATTATATCTTCATTATATCTTCATTATATCTTCATTATATCTCCATTATATCTCCATTATATCTTCATTATATCTCCATTATATCTTCATTATATCTTCATTATATTTCCATTATATTTCCATTATATCTCCATTATATCTTCATTATATCTTCATTATATCTCCATTATATCTTCACTATATCTTCATTATATCTTCATTATATCTCCATTATATCTTCATTATATCTTCATTATATCTTCATTATATCTTCATTATATCTCCATTATATCTTCATTATATCTCCATTATATCTTCACTATATCTTCACTATATCTTCA